GGTGATTTTTTTTGTTTTTAATTTGTTGGTCCTAAGTAAAACTAAGGTTTTACACAGAATTGATTCACAATTTATAGTATGTACTTTAAAAAACACTCAACTGAGGTGGGCTCACTTTATGACCCCAGAGGACAAATGGAGTATGGCAATCAGGAGGACATTACAGATTTTCACTTCTTGAGTGAAAACTCATATTTGATTTCTTGTGTATACAGAGTCTTATGTTTTTTTTTAATGTAATTTTTCATTTCTTTGGCTGTCGAAGATGTAGTAGGCAGAAGGTGTTCCAGTTTGAAGCAGTCACTGAGAGCAGGATAAATGAGGTAATACTTAAAATGTTTTAATTTGCTTTTCAGTAGAATTTTTACAGTAAGCCAATATCTCAAGTTGTTTTCATCCATGCACTACAGCCATGAACTGTGCTGCATGGGGAAATTCAAATGTACTTTTGAGATTAGTGAAGGGAAATGATTAATGGAATTACATTAAAAGATTGTATTTCATGTGTTTGTTCTTAAACAATTCTGCAAAATGAATCACAGACATTGAATACTTGCTACATCTTGCTACAAAAACCTACATGGCTATCATAGAAATGACTGTATATGAGGAAGGATCATAGTTTTTTCTGTGTAAGCCTATATCCTCAGTTGTTCTTGTTTAATCAGGATCATAGAAAGCACAATTAATAGATCCTGATAGATGCTTACCAGCCCTGTCTCACTGTAAATAGTAGATAATCATGTGTAGTTTGAAGTGTTTAAATGGACACAATTCTAACAATTCATAATGGGATGATATTGATTATGTTAGTGTATGATGTTACAAGTACTTCAAACTTTCAGAAGAAAAGAACATAGCCAGAGACAAGAACAGATGGACGCAGTAAACAAAACCTGTGATCAAAATATTTTTTTGTAAATGCCACAATTGGATACATGCTTTTCAAAATCCTATTATTATTATAAATGGAAATGCCTTACATACACATACCTACACATCTATTAAAGTGTGTTTACATGGGTCTGTGTGTGTCTCAGGTGTGCACACTGGATTACACAGAAGCTTTATGAAGACACCTATCCATTAACCATGTTATTTAATGATTGCCTCTCTGATTCCTTCTGTCTAGGGGAACGCAGAAGTAAAAGTGCGTTTGTTGCCTTGCTCTGTTTGGTAAGAAAATACAAATTACACAAAATGTTGATGCGCAAGTGTTCAGATAAAGTGATTAAAGTCAGAATTTCATACCTCACATTTGAAATTGTGGGCTTTAGCATGAAAGACTGAAAGAAATGGCTTCATGCTAAGAAGGTGCTGGAGCTCTGGACAGCTTTTTGTTACTCTTTCAAGATATGGCCAATACTTGCAGGTAACATCCATACAAAAAAAAGTGATATGTCTATTGGCCAGCTTTTGTTGCAGGTACAAGGGATAAGCAAAAATTTCACCCCTGTACATATTTAGAGCACGGAGCAGCACTCCATGCCTACACACTGCAAGCACCAGTCCCTCCTCATCCACCTTGCTGCTGGATCTTTGGGAGGTCTCTCTGGCTGCTGACCACTCCCCTCCACAAATACCTCGTCCGGAGACCTAAAATGCATTAAATAGCTGGTGACAGTGTCTTTTCACAATCTCTTCAGTAGAGTGTTAAAGGTTACCATAATTATGTCTATGTAATTAGAGCGTTCAATCTTACATGTCTGGATGTGCTGTGTATGTAGTCCACAAATCTTCCCACATCTTCATCCTTTGCTATGAAGGCGTCTTCAAAGATGCCCTGTTCCTCAGATCTGAACAAAATAGCAATACAGTATACTTTATGGTGTCATACAAAGTTAGTCCAAAGTTAATTGGTGCACCTTATAGTCACATTGTCTGATACAAACGTTGGTATTCCATATATTCTTGAAACGGTAGTGCTTGCGGTTTCCATCCACTGAAATTGCAAGCATGTCTGGGGCATCCAGACATGCTTGAAGGGGATCCTCCTTTAAAATCTTGTCTAATTCATATCTCACAGCTTCCCACTCAAAAAAACTTTTCTGAAAGCCATCTGCAGAGATCTTTCCCGTCTGGTTTAAAATGAAAGACATAAACAGAAAACAACTATGCTACAAGTGACTTTTAAATCCTGAATAACACAGAAGAACCATACTGTAAAGGATGCATAAACTAAAATGCTCACACGGCCAAAGTGGAGAGTTCGTTGATCAAGCATTTTTAAAAATGCTTTGCAGGAGAGTCCGGGTGATGCCATCTTCATTTCTTCATATGTAAAGAAGACATCTGTTGCGTACAAAGTAGAAAAGTGAAGGGTAGCGGGCCAGTAATCACTTCGATTTAGGTCATCTACTCCAGCAGTCCAGGAAGCTTCACATGTCTCACACCTCAGCTCTGGCATGCTGAGATTGTAACGTCCTAGAAAAGTGAAAAACTCATGACTCCAGATCCACCATTTGACCTTAGAACTGAAGAAGCTTCTCAGATGAGAGGTGAAACGTCTTCAAGTAACATAAAGAAGTCCAGACGCTTTTCTTTGCAAGCTCCTTTGACTACGATGACCTGGATGACTGAGAACCTTCACAGACATCATGACTCCAGAGTAAAAGTTTATTATCTTTGGGTTAGGTCTTCTTTTTGTCTCAGACTATACTGCAACAATGCTTGTGAGGGTTTAGTTTTAGGTGAATTGTTTACAGATGGTTTTCACTCAGGACAAAATGAAGTTCTTCTTACCATTCATTGTGACCACAGCAACAACCTTTCCTGGTCTGACCCTCAAACACTCTGGCGGACGGCCGCAGATTCTGACTGGGCTCTCCACAGGTACAAGTCGTGCTAAAGAAGTCAACATGTATGCGTAACATATGATTTAAATAAGTTTATCAACTAGGAAGTAAAACGTTGAAATGTGACTAAGATATGGTAGGACCAACTAAGCCTTACTTGAAACAATAAAAAAAAACTTAACAGCTGAAAGCTAACAGTGTAGTTGAGAGCTGAGGAAGCATCAACTTTTTTAAAAAATGAGAGAGAGAGAGAGAGAGAGAGAGAGAGAGAGAGAGAGAGAGAGAGAGCATAAGGGAAATGTATAAACAGTAAACATAATAAGTTTAGTCACAGAACTTACCATCATGGCAAAGGGTCTTATTTACAATGTAAGTTGTTGGAGGCAATGGCTGGAAGAATCCGGCAGTCATGGCACATCTATTGTGAAGGACATATCTGGTGTGCATGATGACATCACATTTATCACAAAAAAGGGGGCGTGGTAGACAGTCACGACAACGAAGCACAGCTGGATTGCTCCCACATTGTTGGCATATATGTTCCGACACACTTTCTTGAGCTGCCATGGTATTCACCAGATGGGGTCTTTTGGCCCTCCAACTCTCTGAAAAAATAGTTTTTCTTGGGCTCCAGTTCAAGGAAGCCAAAAGAGGAGCTTTTGGTGGTGGTGCTTCATGGTGATCATCTGAAGAATCATTCAGTGAGCTCTGGAGTTCTTGTAGAAAGCGCTCTGTTAAAAAACAAAAACAACATTTTCTATTAAAATTGATTAAATTATAAAAGTGTAATGGACAGAGTAGCTATGAGAGTAAAACTTGATGGCTATAAATATGCTAGCAATTGTTGCAAACACATGAACATACTGCTTTGATCTAGTGAAGACACAGTGGAGTACATACCAACAGTCTCTGGGGCAAATGCCACCTCACAGTGACTGTTATTAGTGGTAGAATTGGTCTTCTGACTGTGGGCAGCTGTATAAAACATCAGCAGTATATCAAAAACACAAATCAAATCCACATTTATAACACAGAAACAATTTAGAATCACCAATTAGCCAAACTCCACATCTCAGGCCTGTGGGAGTAAACCAGGTAACCTGCGAGCAGAGAAACAAGGGAAGAACACACAAACTCTACACACAAAGACCCAGGTCTGATAGTGGAATTGAAATCATTTTTTGCTGTGCCACTGTGCTGCCAAGTACCAATATCTTTTACCAAAATCCTTGTGAGGAGGTAATTGTCAGCCACATTTTTTTACTGGACTAACATAACGTAATGAATGCCATACTTGCTAGGGGGAGCATTCAGTTTTAAGAGATAATTCTGTGGTTTATTTAATGTCCTTTTGTGTCAAAACAAACAAATGACTTTCCTGTTTCTCTTTACAAATATTTCAATTAATTAATACGTTAAATTTATGGATTTGTGTCCATTCAATCTATATCTTCAAATTATCTTGTATGAAAGAGTACTGACCCTTATGTAATTGACTCTGGATTGATCTTGGCCTCGCATAGAGTTGGTTTCCATCTTTGTCTCTTTTTTTCCATTTTATTGTTAGTTCAGGTGGCTTCACAGGTACTGGAGCCTCCTCTTGCTTCAGCTCACCAAGCACGTCATCGAGGAGTTGGACCACATCAATTTGTTCCTGCTGATCAGTCAGATTATCTAGGATCCTTAAAGGATCTTGAATTTCGGAGTCACTCATGGCAGAAAGCAGAACAAACAAACAAACAAACAAACATGCACGCACGCACACACACACAAACATAATACTCACACAAGACAGAGACCAACAGAGCGAGGCAGAAACAGAGACACAGACCAATAAGGACAGCAGTAAGAACAGATACAAACAGACTGACGTGGCTCTTAAAAGTGCCTTTAGGAGTTTTTCAAAAAGCAGATTTAGGAAGCAATAATAGGCTGATTGATGAAGAACCTGTTCAGAAAAAAATAAGTATTCAGAATTCAGAAGCACCTTATAAATAAATATATACATTAAACCCTATTGTAACGATTTAGATAAACCCTGTTTACTGTCCATTTGTATTTCATTTGCATTTGCAGCATAGATGATCGGTCTGCTATTTAATGATTATGTAATGCTGTTGTTACGTAAGGCCCAAAATGGCCTCCGTACAAGAAAGTAGTAGCTCTAATATTGACCAGTAACGAACCACCACACACACACTGTAATGGGTTACACAAGATTTATTTGTTCTTTCTCCGGGTAAAACTACTGGCTGAAGACACAACTCTGGCCAGGAATCCAAGGCCCAAAGCCACCGCGGTCAGGGTTGTTAGCCTGGTTACAAACAGGGGAAAGGTGGTCACTTGGAAGAACAAGCAGCCAAAACGTATCAATCCTGCAGCTTCCTCAAAAAGGCTTGCCACCCACCTTTTCAGGCCTGACTTCGTTCGAGGCTGGGTCTCCACATCACATCCTGGGAGCTGGAACTTCCCCAAAACTGGTCCAGTTTCCTTGTCAGGGGCACAGAGAGTCTCCAGTCCAGTGTTTGTTTTCCTGCCTTCCAGCACATCCACTCACATCCCAATAAGAATGAGTCCTCCCTCCAACATCCTCAGTTTATTTTAAAAGCAAAACCAGGCCAGGTTAAAAATCTTTTCCATTAACCCTTGTGTGGTGTTCATATTTTTGTTACTCAGCCAGTGTTCATGGGTCTGGTGGACCCGCTAGAGTTTTGGCTTTCCAAATTAACACTATCAAACAATTTTATGTTAAATTACTCAACAGATGTTTACTTCATCCCAATTACAAGCCATATGAACAGCAAACATGGTTAATTTTTTCCCTTTACCTTTGTTAGATCACATTTATGAATTAATGTGCTTCTCGTTTTTTTTGTTTTTGTTTTTTTATAAAATGTTATAAAAAAATAAATCAGTTATAATCAAGTGGAGTGAGTGGAACACATTTACACGTGAAGCAATATGTTTCACAACTAAATGGGATCAGCTGCTCATCAATGGTGACATTAGGCCCAGGTTTGTAAAACAGGGGGAGGTGGTGCATACACTTATCCCACACTGTCCTGATGGCAGCTAGCTTGTCTCACTGCCGTTGAGCTGGTCTGTCATCTCGGTTATCATAACGGATAATCCTGGAAATTTTGTGGAAGTTTTCCAGAGACACTGATGAACGGAAAGGTTCTTGCCGGTTTCTGCATCCCACAGGGATTCTGTGGATTCCCCTTTGGACCTGAAAACTCCTGCAAGGATAAGAACCCCAAAGTAGGCCTTTGAATTGAATTTGGTCCATCTCCTTCCACCTCTCTCCAAAAACACACCTTCCTTCTAGATTACTGCAATCCAGAATAATTTTCTGGATGGAATCTGGGATGAAAAGCTCAAATGAAGACTTGATGTCCTGCACATGAGTAACTGTCAGCCATGTTGGCCCTGGCTTATCACAGTAACAGCTCTGCAGGGTGGCTCATTTCTTGGGCAAGAAGACCATTCAATTTCACCAGTTATTGACATCCATATTTCTTCACTTGCTGTCTGGTGGGCTTGTTCTGGTCCTGGAGCTGGCAGCAGATGGGGTGCTCGTCTTCGTTTTGTTACTAAATGATGCTCAACCTCATCCTCTTCTTCAAAGTCACTGTGTCAGGGGTAATGGGGGAAATACAGACTCAGTCGCGGAGCTCTGGATGCGAAGCAAACAGTGCGTTTATTTACAGTGCTCAAAACAGTCACAAAGCGAAGTACAAAAATCCAACGGTGATCATCTCCAAATTCCCAGTGGTGTGCAGGTGAGTCTCCCAAGTGATTATCTGAGTGTGTTTCTCCTCCGAGGGCTTAATCCAGCGGACTCCTTCTCTCCAACCTTCTGCTCCGTATCACTTCCTCCGAGCCTCCAGTACAATCCAGCGTCGACTGCCATCCAGACACATAGTTAAGTACCTCAGTCCACAACGAGGATGATCAGTGACAGCTGGATGGCAAATTAGGTGCAGGTGTGTCAGCCACTGGGTGGAGGAGGAGAGAGAGAGAGAAGCACACACATACACACACAGACAGGTCGCTCCGGGAAGGACCGTCCGACCATGACAGTACCCCCCCTCTAACGGGAGCCCCCGGGCGACCCACGAAACTTGTCAGGGTGCCGACGGCGGAACTCTCTCACCATAGCGTGGTCGAGAACCGCAGACCGCGGCACCCAGGAACGCTCTTCCGGACCGTACCCCGCCCAATCCACCAAAAACTGGAAGCCCCTACCGCGGCGCCTGGCATCCATTATGCGAGTAATGGAATACGCCGGAGCGCCAGCGATATCCAGGGCGGGTGGCGGGGGCCCGGGAGGCGGGCACAACGGGCTGGTCCGGACCGGCCTAATTTGAGAAACATGAAACACGTCGTGTACCTTCATGTTGCGGGGGAGGGCCAGTCGGACAGTCACTGGATTCAGGATGGCTTGCACAGAAAAGGGTCCAAGGAACCGGGGAGCCAGCTTCTTGGACTCAGTCCGCAGAGTGATGTTCTTAGAGGAAAGCCACACCTGCTGGCCCACCCGATAGGCCGGTGTAGGGACGCGGCGGCGGTCAGCCAGTCTCTTGTTTTGAGCGCTCGTACGCAGCAGTGCCGCTTGAGTTGCCCGCCAGATCCGTCGACAGCGCCTCATGTGATGTTGCACGGAAGGCACGGCCACCTCTCCCTCCGTGATGCAGAGGAGCGGGGGTTGATACCCCAGGGACGCCTCGAAGGGAGAGACACCCGTAGCGGCCGACGTGCTAGAGTTATGGGCGTATTCGGCCCACGCCAACTGCTCACTCCATGACGACTGGTTGGAGGAAACGACGCAGCGCAGCATGGCCTCCAGCTCCTGGTTCGCTCGCTCAGTCTGCCCATTAGTCTGCGGGTGGAACCCAGAGGACAGGCTGACCTGGACCCCCAGCTCGGTATAAAACATCTTCCATACCCGCGAGGTGAACTGGGGCCCACGGTCAGAAACAATGTCCAGAGGAATGCCGTGAAGGCGGAAAACATGTTGGGTCAAGAGCTGGGCAGTCTCTAGAGCGGTGGGAAGTTTGGTAAGGGCAACAAAATGGGCAGCCTTAGAAAAACGGTCAACGATGGTGAGTATAACAGTTTTACCAGAGGACGGAGGGAGGCCAGTGATGAAGTCCAGAGCGACGTGCGACCACGGCCGGCTGGGGACAGGCAGTGGTCTGAGGAGTCCCGATGGAGGGGAGTTGGACGTCTTATTTCGGGCGCACACAGGACATGCGGCCACATACTCCCGGACGTCCTGAGAGAGAGAGGGCCACCAAAACAGCCTTTGTAAGAAGGTGACAGTTCGGTTCCTGCCCGGATGGCAGGTAAACCGTGCGGTGTGTGCCCAGTGGATGACCTTACCCCTGACCGCTGAGGGAACGTACAATCTACCTGCTGGACCGGTGCCGGGGTCGGGTTCTTGTCGCTGAGCATCTTGGACCACCCTTTCTATCTCCCAGGTGAGGGTCCCCACGATGCATGAGGCTGGCAGAATGGGTTTCTCCTTCTCCTCAGGGTCCGTGTCTGGCGCGAACTGGCGCGACAAGGCGTCTGGCTTCGTATTCCGGGACCCGGGCCTGTAGGTGATGGTTAGGTTAAACCGTGCAAAAAACAGTGCCCACCTGGCCTGTCGGGCATTCAGGCGCTTAGCCGCTTGGAGGTAGGCGAGGTTCTTGTGGTCCGTCCACACGATAACAGGATGTTCGCTCCCCTCCAACCAGTGCCGCCACTCCTCCAGCGCCAACTTGATGGCAAGAAGCTCCCGGTCGCCCACGTCATAATTCCTTTCAGCCTGAGTGAGCCGACGGGAGAAAAAGGCACAGGGGTGTAATTTACCTGCCTTGCGCTGGGAGAGAACCGCCCCAACTCCAGAATCAGAAGCGTCCACCTCCACCACAAACGGCAGGGCGAGGTCAGCCTGGGCCAGGATGGGGGCCGAGGCAAACAAGCTCTTGAGACGGTCGAATGCTTGCTGAGCCGCTGGAGACCACTGGTACGGCTGTTTGGGCGACGTGAGTTGGGTAAGAGGCAATGCCACCTTACCGAAGTCCCGGATGAAGCATCTGTAGAAGTTGCTGAATCCCAGAAAACTTTGCAACTTCTTCCGAGTGCCGGGCACAGGCCACTCCAACACAGCTTTGACCTTAGCCGGGTCTGCTCGCAACCGGCCCTGTTCAATGATGAAACCCAGAAAAGAGACAGTTGAGGCATGAAACTCACATTTCTCCGCTTTACAAAACAGCCGATTCTCCAGCAGGCGGTGCAACACCAGTCTCACATGCTTAACATGCTCAGCTCCGGACCTGGAGAAAATCAGAATGTCATCAAGGTAGACGAACACGAAGTGGTTTAAAAAATCTCGTAGGACGTCATTTACCAGGGCTTGGAAAATGGCAGGGGCGTTAGTGAGTCCGAACGGCATTACCAGGTACTCGAAGTGGCCCAGATGGGTGTTGAAGGCCGTCTTCCACTCGTCCCCCTCGCGGATGCGGACCAGGTGATAAGCATTGCGGAGATCAAGTTTGGTGAAATGGGTGGCTCCTTGAAGGAGTTCAAAAGCTGAGGTGAGCAGAGGTAGAGGATATTTGTTTTTGATAGTGATCTTGTTCAGTCCCCGATAGTCAATGCAGGGGCGTAGGGACGCATCTTTCTTCTTAACAAAAAAGAAGCCTGCACCCAAGGGAGAGGTGGAGGGACGGATGATGCCTGCTGCCAGGGAGTCTGTGATGTAGCGCTCCATAGACTCGCGCTCAGGTTTCGAGATACTGTAGAGTCGGCTAGTGGGCAAGGGGGCGCCTGAGAGCAAATCAATCCCGCAGTCGTACGGGCGATGGGGGGGCAGCGATTGGGCCCCGTCTTTGCTAAAGACTCGACCTAGATCATGATATTCGGCTGGCACGGTTGACAAGTCGAGGCGAGAGGGCGGCCCCGCAAGATCGTCTGACATGCAACCCGGCACAGCAGAGCGTAAACACTGCTCATGGCAACGGGTGCTCCACCCTATGATACATCCCTTGGCCCAATCAATCTGTGGATTGTGTCGCTGGAGCCAGGGGAATCCCAAAACTAAGGGTGTGTCAGGTGCCTTGAAGAGAAACAGGAACATCTGTTCAGTGTGGTTGCCGGAGAGAGTGAGTGTGATTTCTTGAGTGCGGTGAGTGACAGCGGCTAAAGGCCTGCCATTAAGCGCTGACACCTGGAGTGTTTCCGGGAGAGGAACAACAGGCAAACCCATCTTGTGGGCCAAAGCCTCATCCAAAAAACTTTGTTCAGCTCCTGAGTCTATTAGTGCATCACAAGAATGGGTGCGGGAAAGAAACCATAATTTAGCAGGGCAGCTGAGGTGGAGGAATGTATTCACCGGCGCACCCGTCAGTATCCCCACCTTTACTGACGGGCTGAGTCTTTTAGCCGTGAGGGACAGGAGTCCGCGAAATGCCCCTTCTTCCCGCACACAAAACACTCACCCACCAGTTGTCTTCTGCTCCGGGTGAATTTAGTCCATCCGAGCTGCATGGGTTGCTCCTCGTCAGCAGGTGAGTCCGTTCCCTCCTCTCTCCACTCGAGAGAGGGGAGTCCAGTCGAAACTCC